GAAAAATGTTAATGTTCTTAGCATTTCCTCATTTTAAAAGGATATCATGAATTCATCCTACTGTTGAAAATGATTTTTATTTTACATTAATATTTTTAATTTTAGGGTTCCAGATACAAGATGTCATTTATAAGTTATATTCTTGTTGTCTAGGTTTTCATGCTTCCATTGTTCACTCAGCTTCAGAAATATTTTGTAAGAGGGCTTTGATAAGCCAGGAGACTAAGTACCCTGAAGAACCTGTCTCCTAATAAATTTATTTAACTTTGGGATCATGTAAATCAAACATAATCTGTGATTTATTACCAAATGTTTGCACCCCTCCCTATTTGCCATTTGATTTAAGAAATCTGAACATACAACTATACAGTATCCACCATTAATTCTGTCAGGATGGAAAAAAACTAATTACACTAAAAGCATCATATACTGAGAAATTAATATGAATACTGTATATAAAACGTGCACAGCTGCACGCATAGTTCTAATAAAAGAGTAATAGGGACACACAGTGGTTTTAAAGACATTTAATATAGTGGAGCAGAAGTCACCATGTCTAAAATTGGCCTGGCACTGGGGAATATTTCTGTCTGTCTTGAACAGCATTCTGGATTCAGTTGTGAAGTAACCTAATCTAAAACACATATTTCTCCCCTCAGTTCACTGCCAATTATCAAGTTCTACAAGTCACCACCCCCACCCCGTCCCATCCCATCCCAGCTCTCCCAAGTCCCCTCTTACCAGATTCCTCTCTGCTTCCCACCTAAAAGGGCTTAAAAAAAAAAAAAGCCTACTAGTTTCTCTTTATTTTACATAGGTAAAATTATTCTCGCCTCAGATAAAAGGCTTTACATGAAAAGGCCACCTCACAGGCACCAGGGCATAAGAACTGAGCAACAAAGAAGAAAAAAAAAAAAAGCTACCACAAGAAGACAACAGAACGGCTTTTGTTTTGGTTTTTACAAGAATAAAAACAAAGTTGTATCCATTCGTCTACACTGGGAACAGGGAGACAGTATCACAGAGGTATGTGTTATAATAAAGCAAATAGATGCTGCAACATGCAGTATTTATAAAACTGACAACACAGGTTTCTAAGGAGGGGTGTTGAAAATAGACCTAAGTTGCTTTTCAAAGATGATGATTCATTTCATAAATCTGTTGATCAGCCAAAATATAATTAATCGAAGGGTATTCCCACCCTCATTTGCTACCAGCCAGGAAGACCCTATAAAAATACCTATAAGATCTCTCCCGTCTAGGGTCCCTAGCATCTCCGAATCACTAGGCGAACCACCACACATCTCAGGAAATCAGGGGCTGATTCCACAGAATTGGCCACATCTGGCTAACCTCCTGGTTATTGCTTGCTTTCTTTTCTCTCTTTTACCTGATGCCGTCATTTCTGGATTTTTAGATTTGGGAAGTGTGTTTATTTTTGACATGAGGAAAGACTCTTACATGGAAATGAAAAAGCTGATTTCTTAAAAAAAAAAAAACAAAACCCTGTTTACATTATGTTCTAGGGTAGGATGGGGGTGTTAGAATAGAGAACTTTTAAACAACAAGAACAGCAAAAAATCCAAAGGAAATAAAAGCTTAAGATGCTATTACCACTAAGTTTTTCATTTCTATCCAAATGGATTACCGCTAAGAGATGGAGGGAAAGTTTTTAACATCAGACTGAAAATTATTCTAGAACTATAAAGTCTAAAAACTATTTCCATCATTTGAGATATATCTGTTTTAATATATAGTAAGTACTTTACGTTCCTTTAGGGTCCAATACATACATCAAAATGCCCATAGAGATAATCCTGAAAAAGACTGACTGGCCTTCTCTTAAAAACCTGTTATTTCTTGAAAGTAATTTACAGAGTGTGTCAAATGAGGACACAAGAAGCTTACATCGTGTACTTTAATTTTTTTATTTTTTTCAATAAAGGGACAAAATGGGTGTATGAACAGGTTAATGCAGACAACTGCCAAAAAAAACACAGACAGTGGTTTTTCCAATAGAACTTAACAAAGACCAGAAACAAATACAATAAAAAGCCAGGTTGTAATGACCTTTGGTCATCCAAATAAAAAAAATAAAAACAAAGAAAAATAAAAGATCAAATTAAGTGCCTCTGTTTTGAACAGGGCACATAAGCAATAATAAATAGTGACTCCCATAGTAAAAGATAAAATTTCAAGTTACGACAAACAGCTTTCATTACAGGAATAGAAAAGGCCAATAACAAAATATTCTGCATTGCCATTTACAAAAAAGTATTGACTAAAGCGGGCTTTCTCTTTAATATGCTTTGCATATGAAATTCTTTCCAATCTAAATATAAAGCACCATTTAGTTTTTGGCAATGAAAAAAACTGCAAAACATTGTGGTTTTTTTTCCTTTTTTTTCTTTCTTTCTTTTACTGCATATGAAGGTAAGATGCTGGAATGTAAGGGTGATAGAAGGAAAGGGACAAAAAGCACACTACATAACAAACCAACGTTATTAGCTTGCAGTACTGCATACAGTATGGCAGCAGGAAAAAGGAACAAAAAAGGATATGTACAACCCCTATGACAGCCATCCGTGTGACATGCTAGCAGGCTCCCCCAAACCGCCATTATATGGCTTCTCATTTGTACAATGTCACACTTTTTTGTTTCTCTCTTTTTTTTTTGAAGCATACAAATAATTTGCACTATATTATCCTGCCAAATTAAAAAAATATACTGTGGCAGCCTGTCTTTTTTTTTCCACTACCAAAAAAGGTACATTGATACCTTTTAAGAGAACAAGCAACAGTTAAAAATACAAGCTTCAATATAAATACTATAGTGCCTAACACTAGATGAACATTTAATTCAAATACCATTCTAGAAATACAGAAAAAAGACCATAAATGTGTTTTAGCATAGGAATCAACATGAGTGTGCATTTTCCTATATTTAAGTACTATATAATCTTAAACCTTTCCCCAATGTATGTTTTTTTTTTTTTACAACCTGAAGAGCGGTGTGTATCCAAGGCATAGAATTTCCACTACCATTTTTAAATGGATAACAAGTCTTGTAACACCACCAAGACAATAGAACCCTAAAATGCAGTTCCCCCCTAAACATAATGAAGTGTTTTTTTAAAAAATTTTTTCTTAACATTTATATTTAAAAAAGTTTTGTACAAAAAAATCCTTGCACTGTAGAAGCGAAAGCAATCATTCATTTCTATGTTAAGTGTATTCTGTTTTCCATTCACAGCGCTTGCAATGTTGAGTCCAAGTAAGTAAGCTCATTAGTCAAGTAAATGGCTGGCAAAGTTTTTTAAGTTTTTTTTTTAAAAATGCTCATCAATGAGATTGTGTACGATTTTTTTTTTTCAGCATTCTTGCAACTTTTCCCTTAAGTATAGACCTGTAAACTGGGAAAATTGTACAGTGCACTTAATTGTCCTATCTGAGCAGGTTTATTTTATACTCAACCTCTGTATCTCTGATTAGAGAAAAGATACAGATATTACAGGCAGAGTCAAGTGCTATTTGAACACCAACTGGGGCAGATGCTAGCTTAATAAAAAAGAAAGAAATTTTAAAAATAAAATAAAAACAATGAATCCTCTTCCATGTTAACACAAATAGCACACAGTGTATGGAAAAGAAATGAAGTACAACTTTTAGGGAGCACAGACATATATACTGCTACTCTTAAAACTCTTTCTCTTTTTTTTTTTAAGAATGTCACATTTCAACGCATCTTAAAAATTCATAGTTAATCATCATTGTATCAGTATTAGCTTATACACCTGTTCTAGTTTAAAATGGCAAATAGTACTATGTTGTGCTAATAAATCACTTATTTTTTTCCTCTGTTACCCTCTGTCAAGCCTTATTGTCAGTCTCTTCTTTTTAACATGGTATACGAGGTCTTGAAGTTTATCATCTGATTGTCCCTTTGACAACCAAGTGGATCTGGATCTATTTCTTTTGGTGCCAGAATTTTTTTAAAAGACATTATTTAAAACAAGTATCTTCATGAAATGAATTCCTTACTCATGTGTTTAATCACGTTCCAGGGCTTTTGCACGTTGCACATTCAATGTAATCATCATTTTAAAAAAACAAAAAACAAAAAACTTTGGGCAAAACAGCCCATTTCTTTTAAGCTCTCACCAGGAGCAAAACAGCTTTTATACTGGTATAATCAGTTTTGCTTACAAGATTAAACTAAAGGGGAAATGATGATTAACTAGGACATAATGGGTCCTATTTTTAGGTAGCCATTGTTGTGAGAAATACAATATAGAATTATATGCTAGGTCCTAAGGTTTATTACCTTACCCAATGCTGAATTAAGCTACAAGTGTATAACAAGTAGAAAGAACCATCAACGTGGTTTTAATAGATCCAAGGCACTCATATTTTAAAACCAAATGATAGAATAAACTTGTTTTTGTTTTTCTGTTAATTTGTCAATTCAAGGCCTTTCTTCCTCTCCAATTAATACATTTTAACCCTTTAGAGACAGACATTTAGCTCCTAGAGACTTTCTTTCAGCACTACCTATTCTGTCTATAGAGGGTTAATCCAAAGACTATTTTTCCTCCTCACGTTATAAAATAAAACTGTACATGATATGTATTACAGAATGTATGCAGCATGGTCTTTTTCTCTCTCTCTCTCTTTTTCTCTCAGAACGAAACTGGAAACAGCAACATTTTTGCCCAACAACGAATTGGGGACAATTTAAAATAGCCATAACATACCATACATGCTGTCTAAGTTTAAAAAAAAAACATACACAACATGTAAATTATTGCACAAGAGAAAGGCTCAAAGTTTGCGTAAAATGCAATAGTATTGCCCCATACAGATCATGCATTCAAACGGTGAGAACATAAAGGAAAAAAAGAAAAAGAAAAAAGAAAAAGAAAAAGAAAAAACAGGTGTGCTGGTGACAAGCACTCTCATATTCTTAGCTTCCGTTACTTGTTTGTTTGTTTGTTTGTTTGTTTAAATCACATGGGACTAGAAAAAAATCCTACTGGGAGTGGGGCTGCAGGGCGATGGGGAAGGGGATGGTGAAAAAGGGGGTGTCAGGTGGGAGTGAGGGAGGGGTATTAATATACCTCTATTCAGTTTTTATATCATTATTCAACACTCGATCACTGTGCCATTTTTTCATGTGTTTCTCCAGGGTACTGTACACGCTAAAAGGCATCTTACAAATTTCACATTTGTAAACGTCCTTCCCCACCTGGCCATGCGTTTTCATGTGCCTGGTGAGCTTGCTACTCTGGGCACAGGCATAGTTGCACAGCTCGCATTTATAAGGCCTTTCGCCCGTGTGGCTTCTCCTGTGGACAGTGAGATTGCTACAGTTCTTGAAGACTTTCCCACAGTACTCACAAGTGTCGCTGCGTCTGCCCTCTTTTGAGCTGGGCCTGCCCGGGCCCGGACCACTAATATGGGGCGTGCTCCCTCCACTTCCCGTGCCGCTGCGCCCCGAGATCCCTCCGTCCAGCTCCCCGGGCGGTGTGGAGAAGCGCAAGCTCCCGTTCTCCGAGGAATGCTCCGACGAGGAGGCGAAAGGCGATTGTCTGGAGTCTCCGAAGCTAAGGAAGGGATCTTTGAGTTGCCTGGAGGCCGCGTAGCCAGCGAGCCACTGCGAGTACACATTCTCAGTGTTGGGCATCGCGGCTGGGGGCAGGTCGAACTCTTTCTCGAGCTTGATGCGCTTGGAGAAGGGGCTCAGCGAGCTAGGGCTGCCCAGCAGTAGCTTTTTGGACAGGCCCCCGGAGGCCGACTCGCCCGGGGAGCAGCCGCGGCCATTAACAGTGCCATCGTCTATGCGGTCCGACTCGCCGGCCACCGAGTCTTCGTCACAAGTGTCCCTGTGGCCCTCAGCCTCGGCCAGGTGGCCGCGCTTATGCTTCTCGCCCAGGACCTGGTGGAAGGCCTCGCTGAAGTGCTGCATGGAGCTGAGCACCATGCCCTGCATGACATCGGGCAGGGCACGGCCCTCGTCGCCCACGCCCACCACGGCGCCCCGCGAGCTGTTCTCGTGGTGGCGCGCCGCCTCCAGGCTCAGCCCGAAGCCGTAGTCCACCCTCTCGCTCTCTGTCAGCTCCTCCTCCTCCTCTTCCTCTTCTTCTTCCTCTTCCTCATCGTCCTCCTCTTCCTCCTCGTCCCCGTTCTCTGGGATCAGGTTGGGATCGTTCTCGCTCTTGAACTTGGCCACCACGGACTTGAGCGCGCTGCTGGCGCTGCCCACCAGGTCGCTGGTGCCGGGTTCCGGGGAGCTGGCGGTGGAGAGGCCATCGTCGGACTTGACGGTCATCGGGGACGACTTGTGCATGTGCGTCTTCATGTGGCGCTTCAGCTTGCTGGCCTGCGTGCACGCGTGGTCGCACAGGTTGCACTTGTAGGGCTTCTCGCCCGTGTGGCTGCGCCGGTGCACCACCAGGTTGCTCTGAAATTTGAACGTCTTGCCGCAGAACTCGCATGACTTGGACTTGACCGGGGGCTGGGAGGGAGGAGGGGCGGATTGCAGAGGAGGGAGGGGGGGCGTCGCCAGGAAGGGCGGCTTGCTACCTGGCTGGAATGGTTGCAGTAACCTTTGCATAGGGCTGGGCCGGCCTGGGGACAGCGGTGGGCTAGACGTGTTCCCTGCCAGCTCTCTAAGTCTCCTAGAGAAATCCATGGCGGGAGGCTCCATAGCCATTGGGTTCAACCGCAGCACCCTGTCAAAGGCACTCGGGTGATGGGTGGCCAGGGCCATCTCTTCCGCCCCCAGGCGCTCTATGCGGTGGGGGTCCAAGTGATGTCTCGGTGGTGGACTAAACAGGGGGGGAGTGGGTGGAAAGCGCCCTTCTGCCAGGCCGGAAGCCTCTCTGGATACTGATCCTGGTATCCTTAGCAGGTTAAAGGGGTTATTGTCTGCAATATGGATCCCATGGAGAGGTGGCTGGGAAGGACATTCTGCACCTAGTCCTGAAGGGATACCAACCCGCGGGGTCAGGGGACTTCCATGTTCGCTTTCTAAGTAGATTCTTAATCCATGAGTGTTCTGTGCGTGTTGCAAGAGAAACCATGCACTGGTGAATGGCTGTTTGCAAGTTGTACATGTGTAGCTGCTGGGCTCATCTTTACCTGCAAAACAATACAACACCAACATCAATGTTTAATCACCGAGCAGGGCATCAGCAATTGCTTATTTATGTTCCGCCTCCAGCCTTCCCTGCCCCCAGCCCTTAGCCCCGAGGCCTGAGCCCCTTCCTGACCTATTCCTTGTGCCTGGCACATCCAGGGGTTGGTGCCCAAAAAATATTTGTCCAATCAGTCTTCCTGCCATTGAACTGAGTTCTAAGAATTTTAAATCCAGTCTCCAAAACAGAAAAATCTAGACCAATTCGAGCTTGAGGATGATGATCCCTACAGGCTAGGGAACCTCAGCAAACACCTTCTGAACTTTCCAGTCTTTCGCCAGCTGTCATTTGGGGAAGCCATTCCATCTCTGTGCCTCCGTTTTCTCATTTACGTAAGAGACTTCGACAAGGTGACCTAAGGGAAACTTCTCTGCTCCCTAAATCCCATCGTTCTATTCCCCCCTGGGTGGCAGGTGAACTTTCTAAATAGGCAATCATTTCATGGAGATATCAAAAAAGAGAAGGTCAACTCATTACAATTCTCTATGGCCCCAGAGATGCTTTTAATCTTAGCCTGAAATACATTCACTGTTGTTGATGTTGTTAAAAATTAGAAGGTACTCAAAAGCTAATTCCATGGAAGAGAAACTAACAACATTCTCACATACATCCCAGCCTGCGTGAGGGTCAACGAATCCCAATTCTAGTTGCACAATGCTCCACAAGGGCGAGGACTCTCGTTTTTATCTCAAGGGAGGGTGTGAAAATCTCAAAAGGGAAATTTAATTCAGATTTAACCAACTGGCCTTATCAAATCTTTAGGAGTTATCCCCCAATCAAACAAATGCAAGCCTAGAGTTAGGAGGAGAGGCTGGTGCCAACTCAGGCTGCCACAGCATCCTAGTTTAAGAACAGTTAAGGCAGCCAGCACCATGACCGGCAGCAGGCTGAGAAACGCTACACTATCCTCCTCCTCATTATTTTGAGAGGCGAACAACGGGAACCAAATTATACAACATCCTGCACCCTCTGCTGCGCCTCAGCTCCAGTTGAGAAAGAAACAGAAAGATACAGTTCAGCTAGTCAACCCTTTGGCTAGTAGCCAAGCCGCCTGGAGAGGGGCCCTGCTTAAGTCACATTATTTCCCTCTCGTTGAAAAGAACCCGAGAGTGGTAAATGCCACTTTGGCAAAGAGGGGCCAGCTTGACTTCACAATCATTCATTTTTGGAGATAGCTAAATTAAAAAAATCATACATACGCCAAGGGAGTAACTAACAGTTTACCAGTCGACTGCAGCATTAAAGAGGGCGCAAATGTTGGTGGCCAAAGGACAAGAGGAAGAAAACAGACAACTGCCCAGGATTCCCAAAAAAAAAAAAAAAAAAAAAAAAAAAAGACAGGATACAAAACACAAATGAGAAATAAACTTTAGCCCCTCTGTTAAAAGAGGGGCCAGAGAAGTTCTTGAACGCCTTGGCTCATAACTTTTTAAAAAGGAAAAAAATTCACCATGAGCTAGAGTGGGAATGAAGAATTAACTCGATTATGATTCCTCTAGTTAGCAAGTCCGAAAGAAAAGCTAGCTGGGTCTTCTCAGGAACCCCAAACACTCATATTCCAAAACAAGCCGGCCTCACTCAAGCACTTGCTGAGTAATGGACTCCCTGCCCTGCCCTCGTAATTTACTTTACAATGCATTTATAATCTCACTCGATATATCCCACTCCTGGGTAAATCTCTTTAACAAGACTAGATGATAAGATATCAAAATTAGGTTTTAAACATTCGCCTTAAGGGGGGCGGGCGGGGGGGGGCAGAAAGACTTTGAAAGAAAACGCTGACATTAATATCACATTATCTGTCTATTTTTTTGTTTGCCTCCTTTCTTCAAAAGGAAATAAAAAGCATTATGGAGAGTATTTTCATAATTTCTTTTTTTTAACTTGGGTCCTGAACAGGCAAGAGAAAAACTCTCTGGTTCCAACTACTGTGACCCTCCACGGCTTTCTCCTTTGCCTCTCTAGGACTCTGTGTTATTATCATACATTTAGCCTGACAATCTGAATTGGGTAAGCGAAAAAGGAGATCTGCAGCTGAAGCAAGTCCTTAACACTTTCATCACTCTGAATGCCTTAAAATCATATTTTACCTTAAAATATTCTGTTGAAACCCAGCACGGGACCCATCGCCATGAACAAGGCCATTGATAAATGCCAAGATCTATATAGCACTACATCAAGGGTCTCGTCTGCATCCTTTGCTTAGCTGAGACAAGTCCGTTTTATTTTGCTGCCCTGAGCTTCGTAAAATTTTGTTTTCGGAGCCCACACGATCATGCTGTAGCATGTTAACACTGTGCTGTTACCCTCTTCTCTCCCCCATACATCAGGTCAGAGAAAATGGCATTTCATCTTCTAATGAGCATACAACATACAGTTTTCACTATCGCGTTTTAGTATTCCCATCAACTAGATATTCTAGACCATGAGGGCAGCTAGTGTAATCATAATGTCAATGAGCAGGGCTGTTACGATTGAGACTAAAGATTACATGGAAAGAGCTGCTTTGAAACTGGTAATTATTACCAGTCCACTAATAGCAAATGATGCATTACAGTTTCCCCATATAATCTGTATTCACTCAGCTCATGCCAGTGTACCATATTATATTACAGTGCTCACAGATTCTAAATTCCTAAACTGCAGTCATCAATAAATGTGTTACTTGCCATAATTTGTGAAATTACTTTGTTCATAACATCTTTGATGGTTTAGAAAGACCAGAATTGATTTCCTGCGTGGCAAAATTAGGGCTACATTGATTTATTGACTTGTAAAATATAATAATATTCTTCATTTACTCTGATGAAAATCAACTTCTCAATTTGAGAGCCTCATTGGGCAATCACAGGGATTGTTTTGATTTAGGGCAATAAACTGAGACCTAGCCCCAAGCACAGGAACTCAGAGGCATCAAAACAGTTAACATGAGCTATTAGCTCACCTACTGGCTTTTATTTTATTTCATTTTATGGTATGGGAAGGAATGACCCTATTTCTAGTTTGTCAGGTGATTAAAAAGTCACATGATCAAAACCTCAGGATTTAAAAGAACAAGGAGATCTGATGTTGGACCCCTGGCTCTATTATTTACTAGTCTGTGGCTCTGGGACAGTCATTCAATTTCTCTGAACCTTAGGTTTCCTATCTGTAAAACGAGCATAAAAACAGTACCTTAAAGGATCGTGAGGCTCGAATGACAGACACATATAAAAGCCCTCTGTAAACTGTCAGGTCCAACATGAATGTGAGTTTTCATTACTACCAGGCTTGCCTGGTTACCTAGCACGCTAACCACATTACACACCCAGAAGGGCACCCGGGGGCAAGTTGGAGTCTAGAACCCAGAATCCAGGTCTTACCGCAGGCCAAGGGGATGCCCAGGTGAGAGGAAGGCTGGAGGGGGCTGTCTGAAGCACCATGGCTGTGCCCACCAGCAGGGAGGCCTCAGGGGAAGTGCTAAGGGCCCTGAAATCCTGGTAAAGGCAGCTGAGTGGGGTGGCAGTCAGCCTGGCTCCAGAGCTTTCCGGAGCCCCACAACCCATTTCCACATACCTTGTTCTGGTCACTCCTAAACTGGTCCTGCCAGCATGGGCTCCAGCAAACTGGGCACCCTCCCTTTGCAGGGAACACAGGGGTTCCATATGAGGCTCCTAGTTTCCCACCCCTCAAATCAAACTCCCTGCCCTCAGGAGGATCAATGGAAGAGAGAGCTAAACTGATTCCCAGGCCAGCAGCCCTTGGCCACTCAGCTCCACCCTCCTCTCTACTGCTCTGCTTCTCCTCCCTCCCATTCCCGCCAATGGTGGCTCTGTTCCCACAGCCAAGTGTGGGGCCCCAGACACCCCCAGCCAAACAAGAAGCACTCTCCCCACCCAGGACTTAGTCAACATGTAGGGACTCGAAGCCATGAGTCCAATCCCCTAAATCTGCAATCTGTGACCTAAGCAGGCGTAGGCCCAGCCTGGTGTGGAGGTGGGAGAGCAGCAGGGGCAGAGGAGGTGCCTCTAACCCCTGCACCACCCAGCCCTCAGGACCCTGGGGCTTAGGAAACTCACTCGATAACTCTTTGTTTCCTAGGATCACCTAGGAGGTAACAAAAATAAACAACTGTCTTTGCATTTGGTCTCGGGGTGCAAGCCTGCCCTGCAGACGCCATCCACAGGTCAGCTGACCTCCCACCTAAAGACGAGTCCCCTTTTCTAGCCTCAACTCCTGCACTTTCGCTCTTCGGTATTCTCGTCCTTTAACACTTTCCCTTTCTTTTTTTCTTCCCACAACAGGGTATTTTTCATTTACGTTCAAAATAAACATACATTCCTTAAATAAAAAACTAGATGTCACACTTGTTTTTTCCTTGAACCTGTTTTTTCACGTGTTTGGGGTAGAATCAGCCCCCCCACCCAACCCTTTAGCTATGAATGACGCCTACCATTTATCCCTCCACAGAGAAGCAAGCTGCATTACCTTCTGAAACAACATCTTTCAAGAACATTTTTAGAAACATACAAATCTAAGTTTCATGAAAAAGATCTCCACTATAAAATTTAGCTTGAACAAGTAGTGGTCAAGGTGGTGGTGGTCGTGGTGATGGTGGTGATGATGGTGAAGGTGGTGGTGATGGGGGGGGTGGGGGTGGAGGGGGGGGCGTGGGGGTGGGCGTGGGGGTGGTTGTGAAGGTGATGGTAGTGGTTGTGGTTGTGTCTTTAAATTTTAGCAACTGTGCTGTGCATTTTCCTTTAACACTAGGAGAAAAACAAGTAGAAATTACATATGTATGCACATATATAATGCACCACATATATATAAAAATACACCATTTTAAATACACATGTAAATGCATATATAACATGCATGAGAATAACTTTGGAGTAACTCTAAACCGACTCCCTTTGGTTCCGGCCTCTGCTAAAAATGTATGTCCTGGAATAATTCAAAGTCTTAAATGAGGCCACGGGAGTGGACTGTCCAGCAATAAAATGGACTCTGACCACATAGGCATATGCAGTCACCATCCGCGGAGCCAGACAACACCCTGGGGAGGACACCCGCAGGGACGAGCTGCTCTTAGCTCCCTCGTGCCCTCAGTAGGCACGAAAGTAGGGAGGAAAGAAAAAAAGGGGAGGGAAAAGCTGAGTGGAATGGGGGACCGGGTGCCAAGTGAGTAATGGAATAATATATATGCGGATGCCAGTCTATTTTGGAAGTAACTCCTTTCAGTACTTAAAAAGTAAGGGTAATTTCCAGACTCTCATCTCTATACACATGCACATTTGTAGAAGAAATAATGCTCAACTTACAAATACCCTGCGGGGCATATTCTGCACTCATCCCGGGCGTGGGGATTAGAGCTCCATGTGCAGAACGAGGGGAAGAGAGGCCCCTCCAGTGCAGAAGTTTATCTGTGAAAGAAACCCAAAATCAAGCACTAAAGCTATAAACAATGTGCATCGTAAACCGCAGGATATCACATTTCAATTCCATTAAAATAGATTAACATCATTACAACAGCCTTGCAGATAGTTAACAGGCCTAACACCTGTATCCAAAGAATAGCGATGACTTATTTCCCACAGTTTTGTTTTATTTTTAATTTTGGTCTTTTTGACAAAAGGAAAGTGTTGTGTTCTTTTATTTTGGGGTCTTTTTTTTAAGGTATTGGGGGTGGTTCTTTCATTCATGTGTTGGTTACTGCTTGCTGATTGTTTTGTAATAAGACGTGAAAATAGCAAGGGGAAACTGGTAATATTATGGTCATATTACCATAGGCTGGTAAAATGGGAGATTTATCTGCAAGGCTGGTTTACATGCATACATTTACTTTACTTTGTAGACAAGCTCAAGCAAAACAGTATACTAATAGGAAAAAAGCGGGTTCATAAATCATTCCTTCTTGGAACAGAGTCCCCCTCTCCCTTCCCTGTCCCACTGCCCCTCTGCCTAGGCTGTGGGTACGACAGCACCTTCAATGACAGGGAAACCTTGGGCATTTCAGGACGAAGCTGAGCCACACTCTAGATTTCTATCAGCGGTGCATCCCGTACAGACACAGAGCAGTGGAGAACAGAGACGGGACTTCTGCCGTGAAAATAACTTTGGCCAATTCTCACCACGAGGGTAAGGAATCTTCCCGTTAGATGACGGGAAGAGAGAACCAACTTTCCAATACAGAGAAACCGAGAGAAAGTGGCCCACCTTCTCCATTCTACTGCACTTCGTTTACTCTGGTGAGGAAAAATGACTTCTCTCACTAATAAAACATAAATCTAGCAGTAAATCAAGCATTTCTAGCACTGAAATTTTTGTGAGAAAGGAAATATTTGGTTTGTGGAACCTGGGGATTATATGGTTTATGTGGTAAGTTCCCAGCTTTTCTAAGCCCACCTTGCACTAACTAAGCATGGAGAGGTCAACCTTGAGACAGAACAGAGGACAAATGGAGCAGGAGACGCTTGGTGTGTTCTAGAGGTTTGGAGTCTGTGATGGTTGGGGGAGGCAGTAGAGAAGAAAAACAGACTTCGATGGTGAGTAAACACAGAATGTTTTCCATTAGCTTAATATTAAGAGCACTTAAAAGTGGTGTTGTTGTACTCTAGGACAGCAGGTCTCAAGTGTAAAATACATCCTGTTCTCCTTATGCAGATCACATTACCAAGAAGAGCCAGGGCAGCCAGCACAAGGTTTCCTTTCATGAGGACCTGGTGGGTAACAATGGCATGCGGCTCATGGAAGCTCTTCCACGGATGGGGCAGCCTAAGTCTGTTGTTACCAGGGTTGTGAAAGGAGCCTGCGGTGGAGGCTCCACCCAGCCAAGACCGTCTATAGGGGCAAGTCCTCCTCTCCGACCCCGAACAAAATAAATGCCGCAGAACGAACCAGCAAAAGGAGGAAGACCAGACTCAAAAAAGTATGTCTTCATTGGATTGTTTATGTTAAATGAATTGAGAGTATAGAGTAGAATTAACTGCAGATTATGTCCGTGTTTTTTGATGAGGAATCTGAGAATTCAGTTTTGCATTTGGTCTTACCTTAGCTGTTAAATAAGTGCTTGTCACCGAGATTAAAATGTTTTTCTTAGGTGACCCACACAACTGAGGTACCTCTGTGACTCCGGCATAAAAGCAACAAAGGCATTGGACCTTGTACAAAAATTAGACAGGGAGAGTCTGATTTCAAACTCCCTGCCACAGTCTGGGAAGACACCCTGAGGCAACTCAGGAGGCCTCTAGCAAGAAACAGGAGAACTGTTAGCCTAATCCAGGCCTGACCACTTGCATGCACCTCTGGTTGGCAAACCTGTTCACACGCCTGGTGGCCCTGAGCACGCTGAGCTTCGGGGCAGCAGCCTGGCCCAGTTCTCCACAGCCAGGCCACGTGGCACAGTGAGGGCTCATCGAGGAGAGTGCTGAGTATGTGGCATCATGGTTTGGTTTGGTTTGGGTTGGTTTGGGTTTTTTGAGTTGTAAAAAACCTGAGAAATCATCAACCCTGCGCCTTCGTGTTACAGGTGGGGAAACTAAGACCTTGAGAAATTAAGTGACTGGCCCATGGCTATATTGATGCTACAAAGTAAAGATCAGAGTTAGCCTCCTCACTCTCCATCCAGTGCTCTTTCCTGGGATAGATCTATCTGTCTCCTCCCCTCTGCCATCCCTGCCCTGGTCTTCACTGACTAAGAAGTGTCAGTGAGGAGGGCTCTCTCCTGATTCAGGAGGAGAAACAAACTCTTTTAACCTCTTGGGTGAGAGTCCAGCCCAAAGGTGTTGAGTGAGCCTTTCAATAGGTCCATGTGAACTGACTTGGTTTCAGAATGGGACAGTAACACCTGATCTGCTTCCGGCAACTCTCGCTCACCCCGCCTGTTTTCACCCTCTAGCTCTGCTTCCCCTGTAGAGTTAGCCAGCTGAAGAGAAACCAACCACTCCTGTCGGCCTAACAAGCCTTTGACGGTGTGTTTGTAAGACAGACTTATACTTGGGTTTCTCTTCCTCCAGGAGAAGTGTCCAAGCTCAGGCAGAGGGGAAGCCCAGCTGAGTCTGCTGCGTCTCCCACTGATACCACATTCACAGCGCTCTCCTTGGTAAGTAGCATCGACATTCCCACAGGAACCGGAAATGCTACACTCTTAAGCACCTCCCTAGGGTTTAACTTCTTGCTATGATGCTTTCAATTATTCCATCACAGTTTAGACTGAGTAAAGTCTCACAATTAATGCTTCTAAGCCATCACCCTCCATGTGCAGCTCTGCCTTCCCAGGCCATCCCTGCCTGGAGGCCTCTCCTCCCACCTGCACTGCCACTCTCCCGGGGAGACACGGGCTCGCGTGGCTGGCTAGGAGGAGGGTGGTCCAGCTATGGCCTCTGCACCGCCTTGGTAGTACTCTTAGGGCAGAGGTTCTCAAAGCGCAGACCCAGGCCCAGCATCAGCACTGCCTGGAACTTGTTGTGAGTGCACATTCTCAACGCACCACCTCAGACCTCCTGAATCAGAATAGGGTGCAGGTCTGTGTTTAAAAAGCCCTCCAGGTGACTCAGATGCATAAGCCAGTTTAACAGGTGCCATCTCTGGGTATATGGAGGCATGGAAGCTGGAAGCACTGATTTTCCCCTGGCAGAGACCCATGGACTGGGAGGCTGCTATCCCTTCTGTCTGGGAATCTCCTCCCTCGCTGACCAGGCCAGGAAAGAGGTCCTGGCTCCCTCATCAAGCAGGGAACACGCTTTGCATCAGACGACATCCCACCCAGCTCACGCCAAGCAGGTGGTGTCCCCACTGCTTCTGTAAAAGCCTAAATGTTGGAGCTGTGGCTCATGCTCAGATGGAGCAAGAACTGGACTCCTGTTTCCCTTTCTGGGCTCTCAAAGGTGGTGTGGCTCTTTTCTGAATCAACCTTTTAAATGCCTTGATTCCTCTGGTGTAAGGTGTTTTAACCTGTTCTGTTTCATAAAGGTCTCTTCAGACCCAGCACATGCCCTTGGGGCCTCAGAAATGCCCTTTGCATTGTTAGGTTGCAATGTTTCCTTATGGCTGAGTGAAAAATAATGAATCTTATTTTTCAAGTGTAATTAAAAATATGCAACAAATAAGGAAGGCTTTTGATTTAATGTTACACATTGGTCCCTCTACATTTCCATATACACTGAGTACCAACTTCTGACACAGACCTCTATAAGCTCAGTTGGATGTCCCTGGAATTTAAGGTTACTAAATCAAGTTTTAGGTTTCTTCAAGAACATCTCAAAGATCCCTTTAATATTGGCATACTATTTGTTTCTGCAATTAATCACTGGGTGTATAATACATCTACACTACTGTCTACTGATCACCAAGTAATACCGCTCATCTACAAAAGTGCCCAAACAGCTAAGCACAAAGCATCATTTCCAACACAGTGGCTGCCCTGGGTGCCCAACTTTTATCAGATATTAAATGTCCTGGCCTCTCTAGGAGTACAGAGCTATACAAAGGATTGCCGTTCACTGACATATATGTGTATATGTATTTTTTCTTAAACATATATTTTTAAACAACCTCCCTGTTTTTACAATGAGACAGGGCACAAAGGAAGTCAAGCTATTCCCAAGAGGAATGGCCACCTTCTGAAGCGGTTGACCTCCTTTCCACCCTGGATCTTCAACAAGAGAATGATGACAACACACCACGATACAGAAGAATCTCTATACTGGGGACGGGCCAAAATAAAGGACCGTTACCACCCCTTCCAGCTCCAAGACTCTTAGTCTTCTCCCCACCCGGCCAGTAACCGACTTCTAGGCTACACTTAAATGCATCCTGAAAGTTTGTAAAGTTCCCTGAAAGAACCAGTTCCAGTTCTAGCAATATTATCAGATCCAAGTCACAAAAATAACAGCGCAACTAGTCTGCACGAGAGGCTTCTTTAAGCAAAAGCAAATCCACTGAACATCCTTCTAGCTCTTGACTCTCATTTTACAAAAGATATCAGCTCTCCTCTCTCAGATTCATGAGCTATGCCTATGTCTTGAGTCACATCAGTCTAAAATGAAAACGTGCCAGCTTTATCATTGCTAACAGACTTCTCAATCAACCTTCCAATACTGTCAAAATCGCATTCCCTTTTGTTCTAGAAATTAACATTTCCATGAGCATTTTTTCCATCACTCCTTTTTATTAGCTAAGGTTTTACCGAATTGTGACGCTCTTTAAACAGTGCATCCTGTACAAACAAAAGCAAGAAAGAATTCTAGAGACATCACACTACAGAATTTCTTCACTGAAACTTGGTCGTCGTTCTTATATTCCTTGATACCTCATCAGTGGCTTTAATTTCATCAACCACTTGTTTTCTCTTTTAACCAATTCTATCCTCTCAGAGCCTTCATCATCTAAACAGCACGTTACTAACTTCACCTTAAGAGTTCTC